GCACACTGCTCTGTGTAGAAGGCGGAAGTGGGGCCCGGATGTAGAAAGTTTTCCAGACCTTTGCTCTGAATGATTGCTTAGGAAAAGAAAACAGAGCAGAAGTTTGTTACGGTAAGTTAGTAAGGCGATACTAGGTTTTTAATGTGCTAATCAGAATGAGCCATTAAAAGAAAGAAATTGATAATGAAGAGTATTATCCAAGAATTCAGCCCTTAAGTGGAATGATGTATAATGAAATTACCTAGAATAAAATACCTGGAAATGGGAATGGAATCCAAAATCCATATTTGGCCTTTAGGACCAACAAATAATACATTAAGGAAATGGTGGTAGGAAGGACATACATGGGAGACTTCAAGCTCAGTTAGACTATGTTTAATAAGTACTTAACATTTATTCCCTAACACTGTATCTGGCATTATTTAAAAACATATAATTTAATCTTCATTGACCTTATGAGCTTATAATTATTAGCCATACTTTATTATCTTTTAATTGATTTTTGTTTGATTTACCATTACAGTGAGTAGGGCACCTGGCACTTCACCAGTGAAGGTCAGAGAATTACCTTTGAGAGTCCGTCCTTTTCTTCTTTTGCTTTTATCTTCTCAGCGCCTTGCTGGCCCCATTAGCCATATGTTATAGACAAGAAAATAAAGTTCAAAAAGCAGGCTGCTAAAAATTATATTCATAGTTTTTGGTAGACCTGGGTTGTTAAATTCCCAAATTTTTAAATCTTGAATATTCCAGTAACAAAGGCCTGAAGGAAAGACAGTTAACTGCTTCTTTTCTAGCAAAAAAAAAAAAAATTCTTGACAGATATGGCGGCATATTCCTATAACTCTTGCACTCAAGAGGCTAATGCAGGATTTCTCCAAGTCAGAGGCCATCATGAGCTATGTAGTGAAATCGGTTTTCAGAAAAACAACACAAAATGTGAGCAAAAGCAGTGTCACAGTGCATGAGCCTCTAACAGCGTTTGGGGTGGAGGAGGCAAGTACTCAGGATTTAAAGATCAACCCCAGCTACAGAGTGAGTTTGGGGTCATAAGAGACCCTGTCTTAAAAAAAAAAAAAAAAGACAAGATTGCTCAGTGGCTAAATGCACTTACCACCAAGACTGGTGGCCTGAATCCAGTCCTCAGGACCCACATGGGGAAAGGAAAGAACTGACATCCGAAAACCATTCCCTCATCTCCATGTATGTACTGTCGCACATGAGTATGTACACACACACTAAAAATAAATAAATCATTAATAAATGCGTAATAAGAAAAAGAGAATTTTGATCAGCAGTAGGTTTATTTACTAGAATAGCAGAAATTAAATACCCAAAAGGAGCTTCCTAGGAAGCATTAATCTCAGTTTTTACATGTATGAGGACAACACTTATTTTATTACTGTAAACTAACTTTAGAGCTCGGAAGATGGCTCCATACATAAAGTGGCTGCTGTGTATGCTTGAAAGTCCCCAGGACCCACAAAAAGTCAGACTTAATGGCATCTTTCTGTGTAACCCTAGACTGGAGCAGTAGAGACAGGAAGATCCCAAGGACTCACTGGACAAGTCAGTCTAAAAAAATGGCAGCTTCTACATTGAGTTAGAGATCCATGTTTTAAAACTAAAGTGGAAGGACCAGAGAGAGGCTTCAGTTTGAGAGCACAAAGAGCACACACTGCTCTTACAGAGGACCTGAGTTCAGTTTCCAGCACCAGTGTCCAGCGGCTCCACCTGCCTGCAACTCCAGCTCCAGGGGCCTTGATGCCCTCTCCGGGCACTTGCGCTTATGCGCACACCCCCATAGAGACGCATACCCTTAATTTAAAAGGAAGGCAGGGAAGACGGAAAGGAGGGAGGGAAAACAGACCACTAACTTTAAGATGCTAAATATAGATGTTTAATTTATTGGCCATTTGTTTTTAATAGTAAACTTTTTTGTAAGAAGATTGAAAGACTGTTTGATCCTGAGTACGTCAATCCAGATTCTCGAAACAATGCAGCAACATTATACAGGTAACATATTTTTCTTGGTATGCTATGTAATATAGCTCCATTATATTTTTGGTATGCTATGTAATATAGCTCCATTATATTCTTGGTATGCTATGTAATATAGCTACATTATATTCTTGGTATGCTACGTAATATAGCTACATTATATTCTTGGTATGCTATGAAATATAGCTACGTTGTTTAATTTACTGCATTCATTCTTTTCTTGAGTGTTTTTGATATCTTTTTGTTGTAGGTGTTGTTTGTGTAAGAAACTGTTAACCAGAGAAACGGAGAGGAGAATCCCTTGCATCCCTGGAAAAATCAATGTGGACCGACATGGAAATATTATCTATGTCCACATAAGGTGCAGTGAAGATAATCTACAGTTTTCATGTGTGAATTTCAAGAATACTTATAAACATATAACTTAATTTTCTGGTTTGTTTCTTGTTTGCTGTATAGTCTAAACTAGCTTTGAACTTACCCTCTCCTACCTCAGCTCCCAAGTGTCAGAGTTGTGTGCAAGCACCGCACGCATCCTATGTAAATACTTCTATAAGGACTAGGACAGCACTGACTGTATTTCTGACTCTGACTTAGGAAAACGCTGTTTCAAAACAGAGTTGTTCCAAAAACCACCTTGGATTTACTGGGTGTGTTTCATAATGTCCTAAAAACTTCAAAATGTTGCAAGTTATTATATATTAGTCTTAAAAGATTTTAGTCAGTACCATTAAGGTAATTTATCACTAATGTTTTTATTATTTATTAAGTATGATATTGAATTTTACAAGAGAACTAAATTTATTTTCAGTTAATTCTTGATGAATGAAAAAAATAAGGGTGGAGTTTCTCTATCTATTCTTCATACTTTGGCATACTTTATTAGCATATAATACATATTCATGCTTATATTTAACACAAGATTTCATTCTACGTTGGTGAACTGTCTCAGAAGAACAGAAACTTTAAGATGAGTGCATTCTTTGATAGCATTCTATTGCTAGGAAGTTTTACACAGAGGTATTGTTGAGTCTATGAAAGCATTTAACAAGGTCATTCATTGCCGTATTAAGTATACTAACTGGCTTCCTTTCTTCCACAAACTTCTAGTGAGTGAGTGGGCTAAAATATAGTCATATAGTGGTACATGCACACGGTGCATGGGTGTGAATGCCGACGAGGAACCATGCACAAAATAATTTTTAGTATTAAAATAAAATGTAATATATAATGCTATATAAAATGTAGCAAATCAGTTCTTTTTTAAAATGTATGTTTAGTTCTCTGAATGGGGGCATATGTGTGTGGGTGCCCTGAAAGGCCAGAGGCATCAGATCCCCTGGAGCTGGCATTGTAGGTGGTAGTTAGCTGTCTGACATGAGTACTGAGGATCAAACTTGAGTCCTCTCCAAGGACAGTATACTCTGTTAACCGGCAAGCCTTAACTCCAGCCTCTCAGATCAGTTCTTAGTGCATACCCTTCAAGGACAATGTTTAAACTGGGTGTGGTAATGTTTTCCTATAATCCAAGCACTCAGAACGCAGAGCCAAAGGATGGAGAGTTTGGTGTTAGCCTGAACTATATAGCAAATTTGAGACCAGCTTCAGAAAACTCTTGACTGGGGCTGGAGAGATGGCTCGGCAGTTTCAAGAGCACTAGATACTCTTTCAGAGAACCCAGTTCAATTCTCAGCAGCCACATGGTGGCTCACAGTCAACTCTAACTTCAGTTCAAGGAGATTTGATGACCTATTGTGGGCTTCAAGGGTATCAGGATGCACATGGTGCACAGATATGCATGCAGGCAAAGAACCATACAAAAAAATTTAAGATTAAAATAAGCTTTTGCCTGGGGCTGATGAGATGACTCAGAGGGTTATGTCCTTGCCACAATGCCCGACGACCTGAGTTTAATCCCCAGGACCCTCATAGTGGACGGAGAAAATGGACTTTCGTAAGCTGTCCTCTTGACCTCTACTGGCACTCACAATAAATAAATGTAATTAAAAATGTTAATTGTAATTTAAAAATATAAAAGGGCTGGTACTGGTGAAATGACTTAGCTAGTAAAAGAACTTTTCTAAGAAGCCTGATGACATGAGTTTGATTCCCAGAACCTACCTAATATGGGAGGGGACATATGACCTCACAAAGTTGTCCTCTGACCCGCATACACACCCATACCCATACACACACAAAAACAGAAATAAATTATTTTAGAAAAACCAAGAGCTGAGGATGTAGCTCAGAGGTAGAGTGCTTGATTAACATGCACAAGGCACTAAGTTTGATCCTTAGCATACCTGAAAGAAAGAAAGTAAGGGAGGTGGAAAATGTCCTTATAGAAGAATATATACTTACAAAGAAAGTTGTTAACAACCTTTAATATGTGTAATGCATAAAACAAAACTAAAAGTCTGGGGACGTAATCCAGTTGGAAGAGTGCTTGCTTAGCTTGCATAATATAGTCCAAGGTTTGATCCTCAGTGCTGCAAAACTCAGGCATGGTAGCACCTACCTGTAATCTCAGTACCCGAGACGATCATAGAAAATCAGAGTCATCATGGCCTACACAATGTTCAAGACCAGCCTGGAATTAAGAAATATATATCCCATTTTAAAGAGCATATTCTCTAAAATATTCTGGATGGTTCTTTTTACGTATTAAAAATGTGTAAGTGGGCTGGAGAGATGGCTCAGTTCATAAGTGCTTGCTGTACAAGCAGATCTGAGCTTGGATTCCCAGGATCCACATAACAAGCTGGATGTGGCAGCCTATGCTTGTAACACAAAGGCTGGGGTGGAGGGTCCTGGAAGCGCTGTGGTGAGCCAGTGCGGCCATAACGGTGAGCTCCGGCTTCAGCGATGCCCCGTCTCAGAACAGTTAGGTGGCAAGTGACAGAGGAAGACATCTGATCTCATCCTCTGGCCTCCACACACATGCATGGCCAAGTGTACCAATATACATGCTCAAACATGCAGTTACCACACATACAAAGTAATTTTAAAAATCCATAACCTGCGTGTATGCACACATACATGAAAGCATGCATCCACTCTGCAAATACACATACTCACACACCTATAACCGTAGTCAAGTGTGGTTTATTGTATGTAATCCATGAACTTGAAAAGTGAAGGCAGGGAGCTGGAGAGATGGCTCGGCATTTCAGAGCACTGGAGCTCTTCAGAGGACCCGAGTTCACTTCTCAGCACCCACACAGCAGTCCACATCCCTCTGCAGCTCCAGTTCTGGAGCATCTGATGCCCTCTCTGACCTCTGTGGGCTCTGCATACACCTGATGCACAGACATACATGCAGACAGGTGCATAAGATAAAAAATAGAGTATTTTTATTTACTTAATAATATTGTTATTTGGGGGGGGGTTCAAGATAGAGTTTCTCTGTGTAGCTTTGGAGCTCGTAGACGAGGCTGGCCTCGAACTCACAGAGATCCGCCTGCCTCTACCTCCCGAGTGCTGGGATTAAAGGAGTATGCCACCACCATCTGGCAAGAGTATTTTTTAAATAAACAAACTGTTTTTAAAGCCGGACATGACTTCTCCAGGCCTGTGATTCCATCCTTGGGAAGGATGATATAGGAGGGTCAGTGCAGATTCAAGGCTAAGCTAGGCTATAACATGCCATCCTGTGTTGTTAATTTTTAAAAATTGTCTCTAAATAATTTTTAAGACAGATGTACCTGTATGATTTGTAATATCATATTCATACTTCATTATTTGCTGAACTAAGCTAGATGTGGTAGCCTACTCCTAGTATTCCAGCATCCCAGAGACTCAGGCAGTAGGAACTCAGTTTTTGAGGCCCACAGAGCTGTGTAGCAAGTTCCTGGCCAGCCTGGGCTATCTAGTAAGAACTTGTCTCAAATAAATAATACTACAGTTACATGTGGCCATAATAAATATGGTTTATGCCTTTGACGGTTGCTAAAATGTATATAACTAAGGAAGACTGGTTGTCTAACACCGTATTGCTCAAGTAGAAGATGCTGTTGAAGAGTAATGTAATAAGCCGTCACATTATTGAAGTATTTAGAAGCACTAACAGCACACCTTACAACACGTACAGTTCAAGTAAAGGTCTCAGACATCCATCACCAAGCCTACTGACCTGAATTTGACCCCTGGGACACCCCTAATATGAAGGAGCAAACTGATTCCCTCAGATTGTCCTGTGACCCCCACACACATACTCACATGCACTCACACACATCCACGTACATAAGCAGTAAACAACTTTTAAAAAGTAAAAATGAAATAAAGATCCTTTAAACCAACACTACATGCTTCTTAAGTGTTGACCTATTCAAACTGTTTAATAATATTCAGGTCAACAAAATAAGTGTGTTCAGCCTTTTCATACCTTCTTCTGTTGTCTAAAGAATAAAGAAATTGTACCTGTTTTTCAGTGTAGTCCATGCCACACTCTTAGTTGAAGAGTATTCTTGGAAACAAGCCACAAATGTTAAGACATTTGGTTAAAACAAATGTATTTCTCACTTAAAATAATTGAGACTTTTTCTCCAGAGATAAAACCTGGGACGTACATGAGTATTTGAACAGTCTTTTTGAAGAATTAAAATCTTGGAGAGATGTGTATTGGCGCTTGTGGGGAACGCTCAACTGGCTGACTTGTTCCAGGTGTTGCCAGGTGAGGTTTAAAGAGAGCGGGGCAGGAAGAGCTTTCTGTTCAAATTGTCTGCATCTGCCTCTCTTTCTTTTGCTATTTTGTCCTTTCTTCCCCTCGTGTTTATTGCTCAAACAATTCTTGTCGGACTTTCAGAAAAGCAACAGATTCTTTGTTGTCTAATCCAGTTTTTCAGTGTAAAACATATAGAATCTTTATTGCTTTTATTTCCAGCCAAACTGTTTCTCCACTGGGCCATGAATTTCCTTAGAGATTCAGAGGCATTCGGCCTTTTGTTGTCTTGGGTTTCAAGACAAGGTGTTACCGTGCAACATGCACTGGCCTGGAGCTTGTGATCCTGTCAGCTCCCTGCTGCTGCTGCTGCTGTTGCAGGTGTGTGCAGGTATGCACCACCACACCTGGCTGCTTCTTAGTGTTGTTGCATTCCCCAGAATGCTTTGTTCCCTCCCTTAACCCCAGTACCAGGGCTCTGGAGTTGGATCTCAAGCTGTAGCACTGAGCTGTGTTCCCAGTCTTATTCATGGCTTTAATAATTTAAATTTATAACAAGCACAAGCAGGTTAGTTCTTGAAGGCACATTGTGATGGCTTTTTACAGAGTCATCATCGTTCCTAATTAGTCTTATGTAAATCCAAGGATTTTTAACTCAAATCTCATATGAATGCCCTTGCTTTAGATTTCTCTCTGACTTGATTTTTCAGTAGAGGGAAGAAAGAACAGGTCATCAAAACCATCAGAGTCGGCATGTGTACATCCTGCTCGCTGGGCTAGCCCTGAGAGAGCACTACTCATCCGTTTGGTGAGGCTGATACATACAGCAGTGTTACAACCAGCAGGGCATAAACATTTTCATTGTTATGTGTGCTCTTTTTTAAATCAGCTTCTTCGTGGTTGACAGTCACTATCAAACCTGTGTGTTTGATTGATGGTTTCTCCTTTTTCAGAATGTCATTAGATAGAATCATACAATATTTAGTTACTTGAGTGGAATTCTTTCAATGAATAGAATGAATTTGAAATTTAAACATGTTGTTGCCCATAACCATTTTCCCCTTTTATTGCAGAGGAGCCTTCTGTCATACGAATTACAGTGTGTTTCTTTCACACAGCTGACACACATTTGTACCGGTTCAAGTTTAGAGCCGTTGTGAAGACAGTGACTATAAAGATTCCCATATAGGTTTTCTCATAAAAATGGACTTTTAGATCTCTTAAGTGGTTATCCAGAATTAGAACTACAGTATAATAATCTAAGTTACCATTTTCTAAATTTCCTGAGTCCTTCTGCATTCCTTTAGCCAAGTATGAGCATGGTAATTGTTCCATGTCTTGTGAACACATTTGAATATTTGTCATTATTGTTAAACTAAGTGTTAATTTTACTCTTCCCTTTGAGTTTTTTATGAACTTACATATGGATTGGGAACCCATTTCATAACCAAAACATGTCAAGTTATTTTTTTTTAATGACTGGAAGTTAGGCCACAGTTTTCATTACTACCAATACTAAGTATCAAGAAAATCAAAGAATAACCAAGTGAGGTAAAATAATTTGATGTTTCACTGGAGTTAAAAAAAATTGGTGAGTTTTAAAATTAGGTGTATATACTAGGATCAGATTTTCTCGTCTGGGTTTTCAGTAAAGCACTTTTGGTTTTGCTTTTTAGAAACTTCTGTGGAGTATAGCTGCATACTATAAAATTCATTGTTACGTAATTCACCCATTTTCTCAGCTCGCACAGCTGGTACCGCTTACTGCGTGCCGTCGCTTCAGTGCAGTCCCATCACCTCGCAAGGGCCTGTGCCCATCTGCTCCCGCTCAGATTTCTTGCTTCAAGTCCCAGCAAGTGTTCATCTTCTTTGAGCCTCTGTCGATAGATCATTTTTGTGTGTTTCGTATAAATGAGACATGCAATATATGATCTTCAGAAGTGATTGAGACATGTTTCATTTTGGGGTGTTTGCTGATTTGTATGTCTTTCTTTCACCCAGGCTTTTCTCTGCACTGAGTTCTCCCACTGTCAGTACCACTCGGAAGTGGTGGTTTATTCCACCACCTTGAGCCCCCTGAGCTCGGTGGGCACGGGCGTCTACCCCTGCTGTAACCAGAAGGTTCTTCGGTTCGATCCCACTCAGCTCACAAAGGTGAGAGTTTCTGTTTTAATCTTCGATTGAAGTTTGGGAGTTTCCTATATCTATACAGTGACTATTGCTCATACTCACCCACCTCTCTCTCCCTCCAGCTCCCCTTAGTACCCCCACCCCATCTTCCTCCCACCTTCATAGCTTTTGCTGTTATTAATAACCCTCTGAATCCAGTTATCTCTGCCAGAGGAACTAAAGGTAAGTTTTGAATATTTCCTTTTATAGTCCAGCTGCCCCTAATGTTTTTATGTCAAATCTTTTTAAGTGTAACTACATCAACATTCAAAACAAGAACTTCAGAGGGTACCTACAGAAGAAAGAAATAGCACCCCTCTTCCCACACCCCGGCTTCTTAGAAGTAGCAACTCTTACCAGTTTGCTTCCAGATTTTTTTGTTCAGGCAAAAGACATGAAAGGGGGCTGAGGGCTTCCTGGCAGAAAGGGTGGCGAGACAGTAGAGAGAGGAGACAGGAAGAGAGTGAGCATGAAGGAGTGCAGTCAGATAAATTATACACGCGTGAAACTGTCATGTCTTTTTGTGTGTGACACACTGAGTATGACCAGGCTCACTCACATAGGCTTTGTTTGGAAACTGTCTCCAGAGCATGGATGAGTCATGAGTGACCCCATCATTGAAGACAGTGACTTCCTCTCCTCCATCAGCCCTCAACTACCATAAGTCCTCTCCGCCCCTCCCCCATGCTGAATATTGACTACAAGTTTAGTCCTGTGCCAGCCCTGCAGGCAGCCACAGCTGCTGTGAGGCGGTGAGCACCGCAGCCTTGTCAGACCCACAATTCGGGCTTTCGTGGTCCTCCCTCACTATCATCCTTTCTGGCTCCTCTCTGTGATGTTCCCTGAGCCTTAGAAGGTAGTGTCTGTTTACTGCTCTAGAGGTGACTAGACCTGAGAGAGCGGAGCCCAAAAGTGAGACAGACTAGTCTCATCCAGTGGCCAGCTTTAGTCAAAGCAGAAGACAGTTTATACCACGAGTAAAGTTCTTGTGAGTTCAAGCTGTACATAATCACAAGGACAAAAACATGTTTTCCATAGAGGCATGTAAACACATAACAATAGCCAGTTGTAATGAATCATCTAAAGCACATTCACTCTATCTGCTACACCGGGAAGGGGCACAAAAGCACATTCCAAGAACAACTCCACAGTTTTGAAGAAAGCGAGGTCAGAAAACTCTTGTTTTCTTGGAGTTTTCTCATAAGCACTCAGAATTCCCCTCAAATGATTCCATTCTTGGACTGTGTTCCGACAGTGTGGCTCTCCCAATTAAGCTAATCACTCAGCAGTCACGTGTTCTCTGAACTGTGCTGGCCACGAGTCTTTGCATTGACCTTATTTTTGTTGCCAAAAGAAGTTTCCTTGGTTAAGGTCCTGGACCAGCCCCAGCGCGCTCCAGCCCCAGCGCTCCTGCTTCCATAGTCTCCGCACCATGTGTTCCGGATCTTTTTTCTTTCCTTTCTTCCTTTCTTTTTCTCTTCTTTTCTTTTTCTTTTTTTTTAAGGATTATATGAACCAGGCTCACACCTGTAATTCTAGCACTCAGAAGGCTAAAGTGGGAAGATTGCCAAGAGTTCAAAGCTAGTCCAAATTACATGGTGAATTTCAAGCTAGACTGGGCTACAGAATAGGACCCTAACATAAGAAATAAAACAAATACATTTTAGACACAAATTATTGGTAGGGTTTTGTTGATGTTTTGTGTTTGCTTTTTTGGGTGTTTCTTTGGGGGTGGGTACTGGATATGCTATACTCCACATTGCTCCTTTTTTTAAAAAAGGTGTGTGTGTGTGTGTGTGTATTTTGTCTGCTTGTATATATGTGCACCATGTGTCCTGGTGCAAAGGAGAGAAGAGGGCATTAGGTCTCCTGAAACTGAGTTATGATTGGTTGTAAGCCACCATTTGGGATCTGGGAACTGAACTTAGATCATTTGCAAGAGAAACAAGTGCTCTGAATAGCTAAGCTGTGTAGTGAGGGGCTGCGGGCAGGCCTGCTTTTGGCCTCACCCGACTCCCGCATGGCTAGCTTAGCCCCAGAAATAACAACACACAAATTGTATTCATTTAAGCACTACCTGGCCCATTATCTGTAGAGAGTTAGTTACTAACTAACTCTCACATCTTGATTAACCCATTTCTAATAATCTGTATAGCACCACGAGGTGTGGCTTACCAGGAAAGATTCAGCATGTCTGACCTGGTGACTGGCTCCATGGCGTCTGCCCCATTGCCCTCTTCCCAGCATTCTGTTCTGTTTACTCCGCCTACCTAATTTTATGTCCTATCAAAGGGCCAAGGCAGTCTCTTTATTGACCAATGAAAATAACACAATAGACAGATAACCCTCCTCCATCAAAGCTGTCTTTCCAGTCCATTTTTGAATTCTCCCATATATTACATCCTGACTTTAGTTTTTCCCTCTCCTTTCAGTCCCTCCTCCCCATCATCCTCTCCTCCTCATTTCCCTTCAGAAACGGGCAGGCCTCCCAGGGACAGCAACCAAACATGGTGTATCAAGTTATAGTAAAATTAGACTGGATAAGGCAACCCAGTAGGAGGAAAGGGGCCCCAAAAGCAGGCAAAAGAGTCAGAGGCGGACCCTACTCCCCCTGTTAGTGGCCCCACAGGAACACCAGGATACACAGCCATAACATCCATGCAGAGGACAGGTCAGATCCATACAGGCTCCTGATCTGTGGGCCCTGGTTAGCTGATTCTGTCAGAGCAGTGCTTGCCTTAACCACCTAGCCCAGTTTTTCTTATGTGACTGGTGATCAACTCAGGTATTTGTTCATGTGTACATTTATGTTTCAATTTCTTTTCTGTATTTTTTAAGGGAAAAGTGTAAAGTATGATGATTTGGCTGAAGAAAGATAAGTATGATTTGTAAAATATTTTTCTTCATTCTTGAGAATTTAATACAGGTATGAAATGAAATATGATCATATCAACCTTCATTTCTCCCCTCCAGCTCTCTCCATATGCCCACAAGGGGTTCTCCTCCTAAGTTCATGTTTTTTCTTTCTTTTTTATAAACCTCTAAGTTCAGTTAGTGCTGCACATGTGTATATGCATAGCCATCCGCTGGAGCACAGGGCTCCTACCAGTGGCCACATTCTTTCACATCACCCCCCAGTAATTGTCAGCTGCAGCAGCTCCTCAGTAAAAGGTGGAGCCTAAGTTCATCTAACCTGTCTGTGCCACAATTTAGATTGGTTTGATTTTACACAGTGTCTTAGTCAGTGTTCTGTTGCTGTGAAGAGACTATGGCCACAGCAACTATTAAAAAGGAAAGCACTTAATTGGGATTGCATAGAGTTTCAGTGGTTTAGTTCATTATCATGGCAGAGAACATGGCAACACACGGGCAGACATAGTGCTGGAGAAGTAGCTGAGAGTTTTACATCCAGATCTATAGGCAACAGAAGGGGAGACAGCCACACCAGGTCTAGCTTGAGCATATGAGACCTCAAAGCCCATGCCCAGTGACACACTTCCTCCAGCAAAGCCACACCTCCTAACCCCTCCAAGTAGTGCCACTCCCAGTGACTAGATTTCAGACATATGAGCCTATGGGATCTGTTCTCATTCACACCGCCACAACCAGATGACCACATCTGCTGTGAGTTCATGAGTATAGCATCCATGTCATCCCCAGAAGACAGCATCTCACATCACGTCTTTTGAACTTACACTCCTACTCTGTGATGGGCGTGAGCTTTGGTGTGTGTGTGACCTGTCCCATAGGTGCCCCACTTATGGCTGAGCGCTGCATCTCCTGAACGATAGTTTTTATAGTGAGCCTGCCTCTAACAGTGTCTCTCCTGTCTGACAGGGCTGTAAGGTGAGGGACCACATGGTTATTCTTCATGATCAAGGAGAAAGTGATGATGCATCGTCTTGTCCGACTACTAGAATACTGGACGATCTATACAAGCACAGGGATGTCATTCTTGTGCCTTTTCTTAAAGATGCGGCTAGGTGAGGAAAAAACACTACTTTTCCATTTTATTCAGTGCTTTCCAGTTCATGACCCCTCCCCCACAGTTTCCCCATCTCAATGGTGTCAGTCCTCCTGCAGCTGCCATTTCAGAGAGTTGAACTGTTGATGGTACAACATCCCAGCATTGCAGTGTGTGCATGTGCACGCGCTTACACATGTGTGCATGCTGGGAAGGGGGGATGTCTTAGTTAGTGTTTGTATTTCTGTAATGAAACACCATGACCTAAAGCAAGTTGAGGAGGAAAGGGTTATTTGGCTTACACTTCCACACTGTAGCGTATCACTTGAAGGAAGCCAGGACAGAAACTCAGACTGGAGCTGATGCAGAGACCCTGGAGGAGTGCAGCTTATTGTATTGTTCCTCGTGGTCCTTATAGAGCCCGGGACTACCAGCCCAATGGGAGCCCCACCCACAGTGGACTTGTCCCCCACCCTCCACCCAAGTCAGTCGTTAATTAAGGAAATGTCCCACAGGCTTGGCTACAACCTGATCTTTGGGAGGTATTTTCTCATTGCGCTCCCTTCTCAAATGTAACTTGTGTTAAGTTGACATAAAAGTAGACAGGAGGGGGATGTGGAGAGAGGACAGAGCTTCGTTGAATTTATGGTGATTTTCAACACCAAGAACAGAGTTATTTGACAGATAAAATAGAAAAATACAGGAAGTTCAAGGGGAGGGAAAACTAACAAAAAGGACTTGGTAACTAAAAATGTTGAGATTTTAAATCCAGTGTTTGGAAATTTTGAGTTCTTTCCCCACATCTTCTTGCTCCACCCCCATCCCCACCCCATCTCACAGCATCATCCTGGGATCAGATCTCAGGCCTCAAGCTGGACACACCTTGTGCCAGTGAGCTGTCCCCAATGACACAAGCCGGGAAGAAGCTGACAGTTGAGATCGTCTTTCCATAACTTTGAACTCCTAAATGTAGTTATGTCTGCAATCCCTTTTGTGGTTTTGTAGCTGCAGCAGGCTGTTGGCTGGACTCTTTGGAGCGCGATGCCTTACCACCTGCTTCTGGCAGACAGGACTCGCCTCTAGGGGATGCTCTCTCTCCTAAAGCAAGTGCTGTACATTAAACGTGGAAATGTTTCCAGGCACAGTTTCTCACACCTGTAATCCTAGCACTTGGGAGGCAGAAGTGAATGATCTCTGAGTTCAAGACCAGCCTGGTCTACAGAGTAGGACAGTTCCAGAACAGCCAGGGCCACACAGAGAAACCCTGCCTCAAAAAGCAGGGGAAGGTACATACTGAAGTGACAGCCTCACAGTCGAAAACGAAAATTTCGGTTTTGTAGAGATAAGGATCAGGACTGAGGCCACCGTAAGAATGTGTGTCTCTTAAGCCATACGCAGCATCTGTAAGAACAAGGTAGTCTGCATGCATATATGAGCACAGTGTGTGCAGTGCCTGGGGAGCCAGGAAGAGGTCACATTCCCCTGCAGCTGAGCCTTCTCTCCAGCCCTCCTGTAAGTGGTAAGAAATTGAATGTTTCTCTACAAAAAAAATGTTCTTATCTTTCAAGTGATCCTGGGGCTGGCTCCTGTGATGAGAAGGGCCTGGAATATGATGTTCTACTGGAACCAAATACACCATGGGGCCCCAAAATGGGGGAGCTCAATGCTGTGAGTAACTTTTCTGTTAAGTGTGTATATAAAACAACTGGTGGCATCTTGTCTCTGACAGGAGCCTGGTCTGTTGAAATTAAAATTGAACTGGTTATCCAATTATAACATGACGCTGTGCTGAGTGAGCAAAAGTGTGGAGAGTGACAAGGAATAGACTATTTGACCCCAGGGGACTGACAGCTGATAAAAGTTTAGGAAAAAACCCTTGTTTTCAGGCTTTCTATTAAGGAAAAATAATGAGCTGAGAAATAAAGGAAATGTAAATGTGTGTTTTGTTCCCTTCTTGTTCTTTAATATATTGGTATGAAATTTTGTGTTTTATTCAAAAACATGTTTTATTTTTCCAAAAGTTTTAAAATTGAAAAAATTTAAAGGTGACCAGATGTAATAAGAGGCTGCTTATTCATTTCCCAGCTGCCCAAACTCCCAAAATAACCACACAGAAACTGTACTAATTAAATCACTGCTTGGCCCATTAGCTCTGGCCTTTTATTGGCTAACTCTTGCATATTAATTTAACCCATCTCCATTAATCTGTATTACCACGTGTCTGTGGCTTACCAGGTAAAGTTATGGCCTCTGTCTCTGGCGGGGCTACATGGCTTCCCTCTGACTCAGCCTTCATCCTCCCAGCATTCCATTTAGTTCCCCCTCCCCTGCCTAGCTCTGTTCTGCCCTGCGCAGGCCTAAGATGGTGTCTTTATTAACCAGTGGTAGTCACAGCATACAGGGGAATCCCACATCAACCAGAAGAGCTTGGATTCCGCTTATTCTGCTGAGTTTTGTTATTAAGACCCGGGAATCTATCAACTTGTTGGCTTTCTTGGTGGATGTAGAATTTACTTGAGAAAGTGAAAAACTCCAGAAAGCTACATAAATAGATAGTAATTAGTTATTTAAGAATTATGTACAAGCTATATAGTTACGTGGTTTCTTAACTTAAAATAAATGCAAACTTGAAGGCATTACAGAAATAGAGACAGTTCACAGAGAGAGGAAAGAGAAAGAGGGAGCAGAGTGAGGGGACAGGAGAGAGAGCAGGGAGAGAGCACACCCACTGTGAGAGCCCAGAGAAAGCAGCAGAAGGAGGGGGCAGAAAGGGAAGAGAGACTGGGGAGAGAGAAGGAAGGGCAAGAGCAAGAGGGAGATGAGCAATTAATCATTTTGTACACTGCTGTAAGCACAGAAACGATTCCCAGTGATGAAGATAGGATTGCCCTCAACAGTGCAGAAGAAGAAAAAGAGAAAGAGAGAGAGGGGGTAAAGAGAAAGTGAGAGGAGAGATGGGGTGTGTGAGACAGTAGGAAAGAGAGATGGGGAGAGAGCAGGGAAAGTAGGGGAGAGGGGGAGAGAGAATGAGAGCAGAGAGAGTAGGGGAGAGGG